ATTCTGCTTACAGAAGACGAGACAGAGGCTGCTAGTGGTGCAGGGATTGGGACCGTAGAAATAATATAATATTCACTATCTTTTTGTATTAAATAATCAAATATAATTACATTTTATTAATTATTTGATACAAAATTGCATGTAAAGCAAAAGCAAGCTATCCAAATGCTTGTAATGACTTGTATATATTGTAAGACAATACTATACTGTCAAAAAATAATAAGTATATTTTAACATTATTATTTTGAGAGGTATGTTATAATCACTTATATATCTTGACAATATGTACAATCATAATTAATATCAGTAATTTCAATAATTGTTCTAGATTCTCATTATACTTGTATATAATTATAATTAACTTGTGAAAACCCCTATGAAGAATATAATTGCTTCAACAAAATTTACAAAAAGTATAAAATATACCTGGTTATAATCTAATACAAGTGTTGCGACTTTTTCGTGATGTTGTACATCGCTAACTAGCCATACAGCAAGCAATAGTCTAAATATTTAAGTCTCTAGCCTGAAGCTGAGACACATCCCTGCCCTCCCGTCCCCATGCTACACCACTTGAAGGTGTACAATTTGTGACTGTTATACGCAGCCTGCAATACTCAGCAGTATGTGCCCACTCTTTCTGATTGCCTTTCTCTTCATGTTCTTTGGCAGTTTGTTGACAGTAAGCAGATTAATTTCGGAAGCCGTTCAATCTGACTGTCTTCAACATAAGTCAGCGCATTCACAATACTAGTGGGTTTACGTTGCTACTTAATAGGATAATACACACATTTTAACTCTGGTGCAATAGATATATGACTATGTGATTACAATCGGCGACGAAAGAGATTTGATATGGCCCATGTCATTCAAATCTCCGTCCAAACTTTTGTTTTTCTTGACACGATACCTAACCTTCATAGATATGCTTATCTGTATTTCACGTGTGTATATTACCTGTTGCTAACTACTATTGACTGATTCTCATGTAGAAGACTTTCAATATCAATTAACTGCATCATATTGTACTTTGAGCACACATGCCATGGGATGTAAGAATCTTGTTATATTCGTGATTCTCTTGATGCATTTATTCGAATTGGTATAGGGCTTATGGCAACTGGATTGATGTTCTCTGAAGGTTTGTCAATGTCATTACAGATACGAAAGTAACACTCATTGGAGTATATGTAAGTTGTTCTGACAATGCGAACTTGGGCTATTTGGGAACGTAGTCGAACAATTGGCGTCGGACTCGCCATTTGGTTTGCTATAATCTGGATAGCACTTTTGAGTATTAATGGGATATTTCTGAGATCTCTTGTATGTAAGTTTAATGATCACTATTATTGTCTAGGTTTTCTATTCTATACTCATATATCTTGTTTAGTTATGGCATTGCCTTCTCAGTTCCCCGGATGTTTGGTAATTTCAGGCAGTTCAATAGACTTTGCTGTTTGGGCCTTACTTACAGCCTATGAAGCAGGTTGTTAATTCCAAGATAGGAGTATTTAATACTAATATGTGCTTGCAGGTGTTCTCATATTGATGATTATAAAGGGCATTCAGAAATGTAAGCTTTTAATATTTCATTATATATCTTACTCTATTTGACACATCTAATTGTATCAGACAAATTCCAAGGAAATTCATCCCTGTACAGGACGGTTTATCGAGATGGTGGGTGTACAATGTATTCTGCATGCATATGAATTGTCTCTAATACAAGAGTCACTCCTAAGGCACTATGTTCTACCTGTATCTTTTTAGTAAGTCTGTCATTTTCTATTCTGTGGCTCATGCTGAATACTTTCCTAGTGATCTCTGCCATAAACATTACAGCTATACTTGCTTTCCCAGTGTGTCCACTCAGCAGTCACTTTTTGGCTTTGTTAGTGCTGATTTTGCTTGTTTGCAGGATGGAATGACTCAACTTTTACTCCAGTTTGTCATTTATTACTCATTTACAATACTCAATTATTTAAGTATGCAATTGTAGTCTGGAACGTGTCATACACTCCGTTTTGACCTCGAGGATCCTCCTATCATTGCGCCGTCTCGGTACTATGGAGAATAGATTGACAGTTTCCCAAGAACAAAATAGTCCTTACCTAGAGCTTGAGACGTTCGAGGCAGGTACATGCTTGGAATCGTAGACAACAGAAACAACACTGGTAGACACAAGGCGCCAAGTGTGTTATAATATTGCTAAATTTCTTGTGAACATTAATCTGAATTTGCTATACTTACAGTCCAAAGCTCTTGATTATACAGTCTGAGACGCTTGAGGAACTCTCTATAGATGCACTAGCAAATTCTACTACAGATGGGAAATTTGCCGATGGCCCGAGTTAGATTTGTATGTACTGTGAGGCCTAATAGTCAAAGTAGTAACTCGTTAGTTTGAGATAAAGTGTTTATAGATGAATACATTGATTGTATCAAGTGCAGAAATTGTGCACAATCAATCATCACATGAATCCATGCAATGCTAGACATGCATCCAGGTAGACATTGGCAGCGCTTCGAGAAAGGTCAGGTCAAAATTAGACTGACATATCGCAGATCCGAGTCACGTGCGAAAACTGCCTGAACGAAACAGTGGAAAGTCTGTCTGTGTTAGTGTTTACTTGACTGTATTCTACCGTTCTGCTTCACTTACTCTAACTTATTGCACTTACGATCTCTACCCTAAGAACGAACAACTGATAAAAGCAATGTCTTGCGGTAATCCACATGCAGAAGGAGAAGGAACTTTGATGCAAGGCGAGTCACACTGCTACTATTGTTCGACGTACCGTTTGCGAATAACTTCTTAATGGTTTAGCGAGGCCGAAATTTGACAGGTCCAATAAATGCATAAAGTGCAAAGTAGAAAAGGGAAACATTGTCATTCGTCATGCCGTTTACTGCAAGTACGAATACTCTTGATCGACTGAATGAGAGGTGTCTAAACTCACACAGAAATTGCTTCTTTCCGCTTGTTACGGCCAAGTTTCGGCGTTGTCTTGATCCATATATCAATGAGATACCTGATGCACCAAGACGTAAAATACTCAGGGCTCCCGGAAATTTACTTGTTGGATTTTCTGGCGGCCTAGGATCTACTGTGCTACTGGATATTACGTCGCGCATATACTTCCCTTCGGGCGATGGTTCAAGAGACGATAAGAAGGGAAAAGCACATCCAAGTAAAAATCGAGTATGGGACAAAGCATATGTGTGTTACGTCGAAGTCTGCAATGCATTTCCTGAAGTAGGCGTATTGGGCGATATCTGCACGTATGGTGACTGAGTTGTCTATGAAGGGTCAGATGAAGGACCGCACTGTCGATATTCAGAAGTTCTTCGAAAATAACGATCACTTCGAACTGCTTCCTGTTCGCTTAGAAGACGCGTTTGACTCTCGATGGTGGAATAAGGTGGGAGAATGGCCATCATTAAGTACAAGAAAGGCAGACTTCAGCCGTGACGGTAAGCTCAGCCATACATAGTCGTTCATCTATCTCACATAAACTCTAGAACTACCCCTATTCATGGAAGCATTGCAATCCAATGAGACTCGAGGGAATCCCGTATCCTTACTTCGTGCCTACCTAAGTTCGCTGCCCACACCAACGGCGGTCCAGTCTGCGATTTCCTCCTTCATTCGTCTCATCCTTATACACACCGCTAATCATCTGCAATGTTCGCATCTACTGCTTGGAACATCCCTCACATCATTGTCTGTCTCGCTTATCACTGCAGTCGCACAAGGTAGCGGATCTCAAATATGCGAAGAGTTCTTTGAGGAGTGGCGGAGTCCCCCGGACATGCACGAGCCGGATGATCGACGGAACAAGTCTGTCAAAGTTGTGAGACCGCTGCGTGATATTGGTATGAAGGAATGTGCAGCTTGGTCGTATTGGAAAAATCTATCAGTTGTCGAAAGGGAGAAACTTCCTGGATTTTCATCGGTGCGGACCATAGGGTCCTTAACAAAAAGTATCTTGTTTTCATCTTTCTAAAAAAGGATGCTAATTATTCTCGACGCATATGAAGAATTTATTGTAGGACTCGAGAAGGATTACCCGTCTACTGTTTCAACTATTGTGCGGACCTGCGCTAAACTCACGCCGAAAGAAGAAGCGCATGAAATTTGCGTACTATGTCAAAGGTATTTGTGTTACGCACTTCACAGCTTGCGGCTGTCTGATTTACCCACTCCGCAGACCAACGCCTCTCGGTGTTTTGGACTGGAAAACAAGGATCTCCGTTCGATCTCCACCTCCGGAAAACTGTTCTACATCTCTAACAGCCGTCTCAGAGGAGTCGAGGACGCAGGTCCGAAATCAGAATGATACACCAGTTCTCTCGAACCGCCTATGCTATGCATGCCATACACATCTGACTAGCAAGCCAACGCGGTCCGTGGTGTCGGGCACATCAGGAGTCATCCTACCTCAGTGGACAAACGCACGTCTGTTAGCATCAACGGCGTCTTCTGGGGGCAACGATGAGGTTTGGTCAACATCAGCAATGAGTCGGGAGCAGATGAAATCCGTTGTTGGTGATTTCGTTTTGGAGACGTAACAACATCAAAACCACACCATCAAATTACTATATTGTGTACCAATGATCGGAATTCAGCGACAATCAGTATCTGTTCAGAATCTTAGGCATGTTGCGGAATGAGTATGGCAAAGAGTTGTTTTCGCAAATGCGCTCTCGTGCAATAATCACTTGCATCCCTCGTGGCTGAATAAGACAGTCTTGGGCTCTCGAGACAAGGAAATTTCTCTACCACAAGCTAATATATTGCTGCAGTGGTACTGTATTGTTGCAATATTAGACACGTAGGTATATCCCAGTACAAATCCTTAAATGCTACCCAAACGTACCAGACAAGGGTCTGTCCATAGGTGTCCATAGGGAGCTAGACTGGTTCTCGGAATTTTGATTTGATATATATACCTTGTCTCAAAGGTTTAGAGTGAGTAATCTTAAAATTGAAAGTTGAGCTCTTTATCACCAGACCTTGTGAAACAAGGAACCATACAGCATTGCCATCATTCCTTTTTCTTAAGATTTATATTTTAGTCTGTTGTTTTACTTTCACAGGGGCCAAGATTGCCCTTTCTGCGCCATTGTGTCATGCAACTGCAGATTTCCGCGTCTGAAAGCACTCAAACAAACCACAAATCAATCGATTATGTGAAGGAAGTCCGCGACAGCCGCTCCAAATGAAACATCCAGCCCATCCGTCATTCCACCTATTCGATATTTTGATTAGCAGTACACAATATACGCAGTACAGCTCCAATGAATGATCAAAGGAAATACGCTTTGCAAAGGGGAAATAAAAAGAAGAGAATGGAGGGGAGCCCGTCGGAAAACAAAGCATTCAGGTCGAAGTGGAACAGGATAGATAGGTTAACGGAGGAGCGAGGCAGCGCTTGTAGAAAAAAGCTAAAAGAAAAACGAGACAAATGAAAGCGAAGATTAGCAGCTCTGCAGACCCGGGAAAGAAGGAATAAGAAACTACGCGATTTCAATGAGGGCCCGAAGCAAGTGTAAGGTGAGCGTATTGACGTACACAGCAGTCTGAAACGAAGAGAGGGAAAAGAAAGAATAATTTGATAAAGAAAATGAAAAGCTAGCAAGATGTACACAGAAGAAAATCATTCTGCGCAGAGATTAAAGAGGCTAGAGAAAGTTAAGAAAGTCCGGAAGACATTGACAGGACAGCGATGAAGACGACAGCAAGAAGGAGTGAGATCGAGGCATTTACGCCTTGGATCCATTCCTGTCGCGATTGTAGTAAACGGATCGAGACCCTAAAGACCCTGAAGAAAGCACTGGTGATGGTGCATTCGTTGCCACATGTTGTATGGGCCAGTGCATAAGATTTCCGCCACCAGGTGGAGCAGGAGGTGGCGGCGGCGGCTGTTGCTGTGGATGAACAGTCACAGGAGAGACCGAAGTCGAGGTCGAAGCGGGCCGCTCTATAGAGACAGGAGATGCACCTGCTGATGCTGCAGCTGCGACGGCATTTAGTACTGCCTGGGCTGAGGTATTCGAGACGGAAGAGTTCGCGTGGCCGTTCATACTGGGAGAATGGTTTACGTTGCTTGGCCCGTCTATAGTGCCATGAGAGGGATCCGGATCGCGTCGTCTTTTCGTTGCGCGTGAGGAGCTTTCTTTTAGATTCAAATTTGTTGCTTTGATGAGTATCTGATGACGAGTACGTCCTGCGCCCCAGTTATTGCAAACCCAGTCCCAGTCAATTTCGCCATTCTCTGTACCTGTACCCGTGGTCTTGCTCTCTTCAGCAAGTTGCTTGAGTTTTTCGGTCTCTTCATCGCTCCATGCTCCTTGATTACCTGCAGCGGAAGGAGTGGAAAGGTTTACGGGCTTCATTACTTGCTGCTGCGCCATGTATGGATGTGAGCCTGACGACGGCTGTGTCGAATAGGCATAATAAGGAGTGGTAGGATAACGAGGTTGGGTTTGAGTGAAGGTAGCAGCTGGAGAGTATGTTGTTCCTTGCTGCGTATTTTGCGAGGGCGAACCACTCAGGGACATGACGAAAGAGCCCGGGTTCGTTATCACCTGCCCGGCCGGAGGCGAAGCGGATTTAGCAGGAGGTGCGGGGGAAGCGTATTGAACGGTAGCAGGTTGGGGCGGAACTTTGAGAACGACTGCAGCTGGATTAGCCATCTGACGTTGTATGTGATAAGCAACAACTTGAACTAGTATCTGGTTTTACACGTACCAGTTGATCGCAAGCTTTCCTCGCTTCGTGAAGAAGTGTTATCGGATCTACCTGATTTCCAGGCAGGCTAAAGCACTGGTGCAAAATATGTTGGGGAGCATTTCTCTGATGAGGTCATTGCGTCAATTATGCAGATATACGCGTGAGATACACAGGGCTCACGATAAGCTCATCTGCAGCGTTGTAGAACTCTGAGCAGAGAGAGAGAACCCGCCATTGAAAGTCATATAATGCCTGATTGTTCGGATCCGGTGCGGGATAAGAAGAGGCTGATTGACTGGTGGATTGTTGCTGAGCCGGAACAGCGCTGGGTTGAGGTACTGGCGCCTGTTGCTGCGGCGGCGGTTGCGGTTGTTGCTGAGCCTGCGACTGCTGGGGATATGCATAGACGGGGGTCGAGGAGAACTGCTGTTTTTGCGTCGATCCTGCGGTCACGTCAAATCGCGGCTTCTTATTTTTCGATCCCTTTGGTCTTCCGGGTTTGCGTCGAGGGGATACGGAGGCTGCCTGCGCCTGATTACCTGGGCTGCGACGACATAGTCAGGCACATTTCGACGACGGGGCCGACGGGATACGCACGAATGTTTTTCTGGCCCTGTGGGAGCAGATACGGTTCCTTCTACTTCTTCCTCCTCCTCTTCTTCCTCTTCGCGATGCGCACTGGCGTCGGGGGGCGGATCGTGGGTGGCGGCATGCTCGACGCTGGGCTGGAGCTGGACGGGCTGGGAGTACGTTGGGCGGGAGGCGGGAGGAAGAGGATTTAGGGCGTGTGATAGGGATTGATATTCCATTCTGTTTCCTCCGATTATATTCTCTGAAAATGTCGAAAAGAATAAAATATGGGGATAGCAGCGTCGGCGTGTAGGTGCGACCCCTTATCCGGTCGTGAACACACAGCCGCAGCCGGTGCACTCCCCCTGTGACACGGCCGATTAAATCGATCACTTGCCTACCGTCGGCGATGCCGATGACTGGGTTCCAGAGAGCAACAGCGAAATACAGCTAACAGACAAAGTAGTGTTGAACCTGAGATCGTGGAGGAGGTGAATGCTGGACAGACTGCCATATTCGTCAAATTTGTGTGACACCATGTGACATTTAAACGCATCAAACTTGAACGACCCATTTTGAAAATTGAAATCATCAATTTACTTATTATTGGATTCTTACTACTCCAAACTAGGTCATTTGTTCTTATGGCCATCGCGGTCGCAGTCCCGCCCTCCGTCGACGGGAACAAGACGAAGACGAAGGCCAAGACTCGGTATCTCAAAAGGAAGAAGGAACGCCGAAAGCATAGAAAAGCGGAGGCAACTCAAACTAAACAGGTCGCTGGCGTTGGCTGCGACCCTCTTGTGACTGCAGACCATGCAGAAACTTCCTCTGATTCCGAAAATGAAGCAAAAGTTCTCAAACCCGTCCACGAGGAGACAAGGTCAACGGGACCACCTCGCAAGCGACGAAAAGTCGACCTGAACATTGAAAACGAGTCGGACTTGGATTCAGAAGAACAGTCTTCCTCTTCAAGTTCGGAATCGGAAGTGGAACCCGAACAAACTACAGAAGTGCGAGAGGACTCTCCTGCCGCTACAGCTGCATTCCCATCTTTCCCCCTGCCTGTCGCACCTGATGCGCCCTCAAAAGCAACTCTCGCCCTTCAAGGTCTCGACAAGGCGCTTCTTAGCGCAGAAATAGTCGACCCTGCGAAAACTCTGCCCCTCGATGCAATTAATGCGGGACGTAATTCCAGTGCAGGCGATCTACCTGTCATTGGCGACAAAATGCGGAAGAGGCTACTCGATCTCGGAATTAACGAGTTCTTTGCAGGTAAGTGTATAATATCCCCGCCGGTTCTTGTGCTCATTGGGCACAGTTCAGACCGCATTATTACCTTTCCTGCTCCCTTCTAAACGTTGTTCACGGGCATTATACTTGCCATATGATCCTCCGCAGGATGTCTGTGCTTCGGCACCTACCGGCAGTGGCAAGACGTTGGCATATGTGATCCCTATCGTTGAGGTACGAATGACGCCCTGTATATAGGTTCTTAGCCCAACTTGACAGTCCTGCAGATCCTGTCAGCGCGAATAGCAACTAAACTGCGTGCTCTAGTCGTTTTACCAACACGTGATCTAGTGCTGCAGGTGCAAGAAGTTTTCGAGGCTGTCGGTAAGGGCAGGGGCTTGAAGGTAGCATACAATACTGCCTTGTATTCTGCTTGATGTAACTTTCCGGCAGATAGGCGTAGCAACGGGACAGCACTCATTTGCCCACGAGCAAGGTCAACTGGTTCCTGACCAAGACAAGGGGTGCGCATTTATCCGCGGGGGGAGTTTCAAAGACTGATTCATTTTTCAGGTCTCAAGGCGGAGCCAGCAAGGTGGACATTCTGATTTGTACACCCGGCCGGCTTATGGACCACCTCAACGGAACGCCCGGCTTCACGCTACAACACCTTCGGTTCCTTGTCATTGATGAGGCCGATCGTCTTCTCGCACAGAGCTTCCAAGACTGGCTCGCACAAGTACTCAGTGCACTTCGTCCACCGACACAGTCAATAAGTGACGGAGTTTCCTCTCTGTCTTTGAACAAGCCAGGAGCATCGTCGATACTTGGCTTTGGACATGACTCCATAGCACCAGCTTTCCTGCCTCACATCCCGACGGACTTGGATGACCCGAAGCACAGTTCATGCCAAAAGCTACTATTCAGCGCGACGCTCACTCGTGACCCGGCGCGAATCGCAGCATTAGGCTTACGCGATCCGAAATACTTCGTCGTCCAAGCTACTACAAGCATTGATAGAGACACTTCCGGTCCAGCTGCTCTTGGGATGGAGAACTTCGCAATGCCACCGAGCCTGAAGGAACATTACATCACGACACCCACGGCACGAAAGCCACTTATACTCTTCCATCTTCTGCACAACCGTGGTATTTCTAACGCACTTGTGTTCACAAAAAGCGCAGAGTCTACGGCTCGTCTTGTCAAGCTTTTGGAGTACTTCGAGGTTGCATATCTCGCATTGTCGGACACAGTGAATCCTCCAAAGCGTATCGTAGCGCAAGCGTATTCAAGTGATCTTCCCTCAGGAGAAAGGAAGAATGTTCTAGAGAAATTTAAGAAGCAAGAAATAGACATGTGAGTCCTTTTATCTCAACTCCAGAAGTTGGAAACAGGAAACTCATTGTTAATCTTAGTCTTGTCTGCTCCGACCTTGTCGCTCGTGGTCTCGACATCTCACACGTCGCACACGTCGTATCATATGACGCACCAGTTGACATTCGGAAGTACGTGCACAGAGCAGGACGTACAGCACGTGCCGGCCGAGCAGGCGACGCGTGGACACTCGTTGAAGATCAGGAAGCGAAGTTCTTCAAAGATATGCTGAGGGATGCTGGTGAGGGTCGACTTGAGCGCATATCGCGAGTGAGGGTGCGTGATGCAGAGCTCAAGAATATGGAGGATAGCTATATGGTGAGGAGGCTTTCTTCGTTGGCAATTATTGATATTACGAAAGAGGTCGTGCTGATGATACTGATGACCAAATAGGTTGCTTTGGAGGACTTAAAGAAGGCATACAGCCGATCCACTTCCACATGAATCCGATGCAGTATCAAATTATATCCGCATTTCTTCCTTTGGGACTTCCAATTGTCGTGCCATTCGGGATGCTCCGTACATGATGCTAGTCTGACGTATCTAGACGTCTTCATGTGGCTTCAGCGATTCTGGCACGGCTTCATCGCAGTGCTGATTCAAATGTGACGCATAAGTCGTAAGAATGGGTGTCTTCTGCGCAAAATACACAGCAAGCAAATATCAAATTTTCTCTGACAAGTCTATTTCAACCTTGCCACTGGTCTGTCGTACATCAAGAAATACTGCAGAAGTTCTCCATTCGCTGTCTGTTAATACGGACGGTTAACATGGAAGAATACCTCTTCAAATGGTAGGCATACAAACGGTACATTTATTCACGTGGGCATCCGCACTTGTCGTTCTCTGGTACTTCAGCCATCACAGTATCAATGTGGTTTCCACAGCCCTTCGAGATTGGACTGCATCAGCAATTGGAATATAGAGCGGATAACACTGTTAGAAGGAGGGCGAGGCTTATCACTTACTGCCCAGGTTGTCTTTCCACACTTTGAGCACTGCGTCTGTTTGCAGGCATCGGTCGGTATTGCGAAGATAGCTGAGGCCATTGATGCAACTGAATGAGTAGGGGTGTGTATTGAGGTTCGGAGAGCTTGAGATTGGGGGTGAAGGAGCTTGCAGCATCTTCAGCCGCTGCTTATATGCGCGCGAACACTGATAGCATTACATCATACGTGTGCTCAACTGCTGGCATACGCCTTTCTTCACAGACAAGTTTCTGGGACCACCCTTCCTCAAATGAAAGATACCGATTTGGACGCTATCTGTGACATGGACCGCTGACGTTCTGACGTGGAGGCTTTGACAGAACTAACGAAGAGGGCTCTTGGGTATATTTAGCCAGAATGAAAATGGTATCCAGAGCCTAGACTATTCATAATACACATAGGTCAGACCCATTATCGGTCATTTGCTTGCAGAGCTTCTCTTCGCATTCAACATCCAGAACCACTGTACGTCTTTCTCACTGAATAGCAACAAAATACACTGCATAAAGAGTACTGGCTATTTAATAGTCATTCGTCGACTTCTTAATTTTCACAGGTATACGAGGGACATGTAAATGTCGTGCGTTAAGCAATAACACAGATTCCACCTTCGTCTCCTGTTTATAACCAGCACGAAAGGACGTGAAAAGCTTTGAACAGGAGTGAGAACTAGAGATGCACGTGAAAGCTACTCACGCGGACATATGCATTTGGTATTCTCAGATACCTCAGCCATTACGGCCTCTTTGTGCATACCACAACCCTGGGAAGAAGACGCAGAATATGAGCACGTAAAAGGAGAATACGAGATTCCAATGGCTAATAGCTTACTGCCCAAGTTGTCTTGCCACATTTCGAACACTGAACTTGCCTGCAGAGTTCGGCTAGGGTGGAGAAGTTAGATGAGACCATTGATGTGTTTCTGAATAGGAGACCGCGATAAGACGGGGGAAATTGTTATACGTATCGAAAGCTGCCTGATGTCCTGATGTGCTAGTTATATGCGTTGCAGATCATGTCATTTCGTCACGTGCATGCACGTGTATACTTGCAGATTATTCGTATATCGTCAATAAATTCTGAAGCAGTCCATTTACGGAAAAGGACGTTTCGTATAGACCGAGCTTACCTAGAACATGCTAGGGTTCCACATGAAGATTGGAGTTCATGCTAACTACGATACACCAATAGTGTTGGATCCCATAAAGCATTCACTTCGTTAACCGGAACAAGAGAACGCCGGATTGCGTTTATAAATTTGCAAAGCATGTCAACCATTACATTAAAACTAGTGTAATTTACGCTGTTGCGTAAATTCAGCAAGACGCTTCGAGGTAGTGTGGTAGACTTACTGCATGGACCGTTTTCTGTAACCTCTAGTTTTTGGCGACATCAGACCACACCAATGCTTCCAATCACGAAGGGTATCATTCGTAATATGGACGATTCCCTAAAGCCTGAGCCGAGCTTTCCGACATGGAATGCTGCTCCAACGGTTGGACGGCAAAATCAAACGAGGTGCTGATGTGAATTCTAGCTGCGAAATACAGGCATTGGTTGTTCCTTTAAACAGGGACGTTCCTTTGAACACCCCCCTCTAATTCATGCATAACTCAACCAATAAACTCAAAAAAATAGAGAAATGTAGATACATACATGTACTATATATATATGAATTCTGAAGGAAATTGATTCAGTAGAAAAGTGTATAGAAATTCAATACTGCTGAAATTGAATGAATTCCAAATATGAGACTACTGACAAATTTTTTACTACTACTTATGCTACAGTGTTCAACATAAAAATTATATTATTGTATTCCTCTACTTCAGAGCTACAATATGTATGTTTTATCATATTGAATGGACCAGTCCTCAAATTAATATTGTGTAATTTGTTAAAAATGCTCAAAAAGTATGACAAGAGAGTAAAATGATTAGTATTGATCTACACTGACCTACAGTCCTAATGACACATTGGTTGAGGGTATTAGTCTGTAACATTTGCTAAATAAATAATTTTTTCTCTCTTTTTGTTCCTCATCTCTTAACAGTACTATTCTATAGTTAGTACAGCTTGTTCTGGCCTCCCTTCTTAATGCTAGGCTCTAGAATGCTCTATACAAGAAGAAGAAAGGAAAAACAATAGAGAACTCACAGATATTTGATGATAGAATGCCAAAGATTATGACCTCAGATGAGACCAGGGAAAAGCTCAGGCAGAAGAAGGAATACAGGGAAAGGGAAGAGAAGGAGGTCCAGGCAAGAAAGGAGGAGGCTAAAAGGAAGAAGGAAGTTAATAATATGATTGAAAGTGAATGAAAACAAATCAAGACTCACTATAATGAAGAGCTTGCCAAATGGCAGGCTAAATACTCTACTTGGAGGGAGGAAGGGCTCCCAAGGGCTTATTAGAGCTCTAGACCTTCTAGACCAACAAAAAAACAAGTCCAGGACAACATAATATGAGAGAGGGGCCTTAATAAAGAAGAAGCAGTGTCTGGATGTAGTGAATGCAACCTAGACCTGTGAAGACACAACAAATAATGTAGGAATTTTGCCTGAAGGTGCAGATATGACTATAGAATGATTGCCTGTATAAACAAGAGCAAGAGGAGTGAGCCAAGAGTGAATGTAGGAGCACAAGTTGAGAAGATAGGGGTGGACAGGTTGAATGCATGCTAGTGTAATGGAGTGTCACAGGGGTGTTCAAAGGAACAACTTTTGTGACAAAATCTCACTTTTTTCTTATCTTCATATTAATTTTTTTATAGCACTTAATAGCTTGGAAAAATTCAGGCATATAGTATTATACATATAATCATTAGATACATAAATTTTTAAGTAAATTTTTGATGTGGAAAGAAATGCAGGGGAAAACAAAATTGGTGTTTAAAGGAACGTCCAATGCCTGTATCGGAACTTTGTCAATCCCGCTTCCTTTGCATAGGAGTAATTCCAGCCCCAATTTCTGAAGAAAAGAGGCTGACTGGCGTGAACCTTCCCAGTTGCACAGGAGCCTGTAGAACAGGTACGCTGATTACTGACAAGTAACGGAGCGACTAAGCCTGCTGAACGCTGCCTTAAGACGTTGCTACTTGGTCAATCTATCTCGTTTGGAATGAATTGAACACGAATTTCCGGACAACACCGAGGCGAAAAGGCCTTGATCAACGTTCTTAGAAGCCATGCGTGTACACCAGCGTGGAAGCAGCTAAGAGGTAGTTGATTCAACAAGTTGCTCTCGAGCGCCAATAGCAAGAGCAGAGTGCCTCTAACACGATAGTGGTGGAAGTATTTAACGAAGGAAGAGGCACAGCAGTAGTGACTTGAGGCTGTATATATGCGGGGTAGCCCGACTGGAAGTGAAACGGCCGAAGTTCCAGGGGAAGGGCCGAGACCGGGTCATCAACTTTCCGAGCTGAAATTAGACGTCGGGTATTCCGGTGCGAGTTCCCAGAGGATCTAATGACGCAGATGAAGTCGTCATTACTTCGGCCTCCTAGTGATAAATTGCTAGCCAGAACTTGAATGTTGGTCAATGCTGATGCAAATATGCACATTAAGAAGAAATACTGGTGTCGAGAAAAACAATACGCGTGGATTGGCGGTCATAGGAGCCTGAGAGAACAACAGAAATATTACGCCACAAATTTCGCGTACAATAAGACTGAAACCATCAAACACGAGGTCGTTGATGAGACGGGTAAGAGCGCCGCTACCGCCGGGCTGGTGATAAATTAGGCAAGGGTGCCGGAATCGCGCCCACGTGATGCCCGTCGCGTCGAGTTGGAGTTTGGACGTATCTCGTTGAGACTTTCTTGTCCTAGCCACCAACGTCGTTGCTGCTCCCAGCCGCACCCCTTCGGCCTCCTTTTTTCTCCTCGTATATCATCGGAGGGCCCTCCTTCTCTTTCTTGCATATTTCCATAGCTCGTTTCCTTGCTCAAGACATCTTCTGCTCCCCTTCAGGTAGTATATTCTTCATGGCTTTCAATACAAGGGTACGTTGCACTTCCGTTTTTGTTGTGCTCTGTGCTCAGAAAGTATCGTGATATCAAGTTTCGCCCGAAGATTGGACCGCAGCGTCCTAAAGCTGTCGGCGACGAAAATGCGGTTGCCAATAAACACGCCAAACAATCATCGATAGGAGGGCCCATCCGTGTGCCCGTCAAATCTGGTCCGCAACGCCCAGCACTTGGTGAAGTCACGGCGAATGCTATCAATAAATTTGTATGTTTCTCTTAGCTTTCTGGTCGCCGTTGCCGTCGGCGCTCGTGCTTGCGTTTCACTAATCCACTTTATCTCCCATCGGCAGCAATCTGCAAAATTACCAAGTAAGGACCTTAAGGAGGAAGTTGGACTCAAGAGAGGACGCTCGTCGACTTTAGATGCAGCAACGGGTGCCCAGCGCGTTCCATTAGGTCCCGTAAGACCAGCTGTCAACCTCGCCACATCAGCCACGGCCACTGACGCTGTGTCGAGGGCACCTCTTCGTCCCCAACGACCCAATGTCATTCGACATTCCGAAACAGCTCCTGAACTCAGCAAGCCTGCTCCTCCTCCCGAACCGGAGGAACCAGCCGCAAAGGATGATAGCATGGAAGTTGAGGAAGAAGAAGTTGCGAAGGAAATCTCGCAACCTTCGGTTGCGGAAGAGCCGATCGAGCTGAAGGACGAACTTGATGAGGCCGACGACGACGATGTCCCTGTACAACAAATCTGGCCTGCTCTCACTCCTCACGCCGAAGAGAAATATAGAAAGGAGATTGAACACATTCAAACGACTTTTCACGATGACGTGGACATGTTTGACACTACTATGGTCAGCGAATACGCTGATGAAATTTTTGAATATATGTCACAGCTCGAAGTTCGTTTCTTTCCCATTCGAGGCGTTGATTGTTTTTTCCTGACTTGTATGTAGGTCGAGATGATGCCAAATCCTGAGTATATCCATGGCCAAAGCGAGATCACGTGGGATATGCGCCAGACCCTTGTTGACTGGCTTTTGCAGGTTCACCTCCGCTATCATCTCTTACCCGAAACGCTTTGGATAGCGATCAACCTAGTAGATCGCTTCCTCAGCAAACGTATTGTGTCTGTCGTCAAGCTTCAGCTTGTCGGTGTAACCGCGATGTTCATTGCAGCCAAATACGAAGAGATTCTCGCACCATCGGTAGACGAGTTTGTATTCATGACGGAGGGTGGCTACTCCAAAGAAGAAATTCTCAAGGGAGAGCGCATCGTCATGCAGACTCTTGATTTCAAAGTTTCCAGCTATTGTTCGCCATATAGCTGGGTTCGTCGAATAAGCAAGGCAGATGATTACGATATCCAGACTCGCACGCTTTGCAAATACATCGTCGAAGTCACGTTACTGGACTACCGCTTTCTTCGCGTGAAGCCAAGCTTAATAGCTGCTGTTGGAATGTACACAGCACGTCGGATGCTTGGAGGTGACTGGGTGAGTGATGTCGATCCGCACAGCCACTGACTGCTGCGGTACCTTTTTCGCGACGCGTCGCGACGTGTTCATGCCACGTGACTAACAACTCCTTTCTTTTTCCGCAGAATGATGCATTCGTTTTCTACTCTGGGTTCACAGAAGAACATCTCCTCCCGGGGCATAACTTTGTCGTCGAAAAGCTTCTTGAAAAGAGCTTCGACCGGCAATATGTTAGCAGGAAATATGCGAATAAGAAGTTCCTCAAGGCAAGCGTATTTGCAATAGAGTGGGCGCGCTTGAACGGAACGACCCCGCAAGGCGATGCCTGCGAGGAAATGGTGCTTGAAGCATGAACCAGCTCAGGCCAGGACCCTCTTGCCATAGACTTTGCCCTCGCCCGCTTTGCCTTTTCTTTAACCTTGCTTTGCGATGCGGCTTTGGACCATCTCGTCCTGTCCTTTCGCCTCTTGCTGTATTTGCTACTTCCATTTCCACCCATCGTCATCATGCTATTTCCTCATTACGCATTCCTTTTTGCCGTTCTAAGTTTTCGAGCGATGTCTCAGTTATGTCCACCGGCTAACCTCTTATGCCGCATGCCGTGTCTACGCCTCTAAACGTCACAAGTACATACCAAACCTACGGTCCTCCCTGACCCCCGTCACTCTTTTAAAAACTTGTTCACTCCTTTTCCAATGGCTATGGCTGTTCCCACCCGCTCCTTGTTTGCTTTAATTCGAACCATTGCGCTGTTCGATCTTTCGTACTTTCGTTTGGCGTGGTATAGTACTCGCATCTTGGCTCATCGGTCCTTCTTGGAATGTTTCGCCTTTTCTGACATTAGTCGAGAGCTTCCCCACGCGCGCTTCTTCGGCCCCGCTGTGCGTTTTAGCGATGCCCGATCTCCTTCGCTCGGTTATCTTGGTTTTTTGGACTCCCTTCTGTCCGACATTCTGCTACCGAAGGCTCGCCTGTGGTCGAGACCTTCATGCGCTTTTACTCGGGCTTCTCACGACACTATTCCCGTCCTCCGTTGCTGGCCCATTTCGTCCCACCTCGCATTGAGCCGGGTTTGCGCTGTCTAGGCAACGTATGTGTCGTACACGGCGCACATGGTTGCGCATCCTACTTCTATATTCCCCTTGCTTCCTTTTTGGTTTTTTGTGCCCTACCCCCTATGCATCATCCATCGATCCCCTTCCGCACTACAATGCGTCCGTCACTGTCATCCCGGTCGCTCTACGTCCAATTCCGTTTCCTTTCTGATCCGCGCTTCTCTCTTCGTTTCTGTGTAGACTAATTTGAACAATCCGCCGATAAAAGGAAGGCGAAAGAAGTCAAGAAGTCAAGCTAGCTGCTATTCAACTCTTTTCTTTCACTCTATCTCTCTATGCACCCGTGATTGCTTCTCTCTCGCTCTTCACTTTCTTCTGTTCCGTTTTTCACCTTTTTTGTAAACCTTTTTTTCACTTTTTTTCTTTGTTGGTTATCAATTCGGACGTCTGAAACATGATGCCCATTTGTGCTATAGCTCAAACGTCATTTTTCTTTTCTTTTTCGTTGCTCACATCCTCCTCTGTCTTATACAAGTCCATTATATATTGACGCGAGCTGCTTTGCTGCGTCGTTACAACTGGAATATTCGGTGATTAGTGTGATGTGGGAAAGGGTCGTGTGATATCGTGAAGTGAAGATGCATAGTAAGAGTCCAACTGACAACCAAAATGAAAAGAAAGGAAGTCTGCAAGCCGAGTCTCCTGTGGAAAGAGTGACATGGGCATGGGTTACAGGTAGTACCTATCCCCGATCTGACCCATCCCAGGTTCAATAGCCCATATTCTACGTTCATCCGACTCTCCAGAACCATCACCTTCGCCTTCATGAACCTGGCTCGCCTCGACCCAGCGCTCACTTAACACATCATCCACAGCACCACAGATGATCCGCACCTCAGGGAACGCCCGATGCAGCGCAGCAACACCTCCATTTCTCGCAATAAGGAACGTAACAAAGACAATATGGTCGGGTTGGACACCATGATCGAGGAGAGTACGGATAGCCATGAACCCAGCTGCACCCGTACCGATTTGCGCATCGAGAAGGAGGACGTAGGAGTCTCGTGCGAGGGCGCGATCGCGGATGCAGGCGGGGAGCATGACGTGTAAGAGGAGGGGTTCGCCGGTATTTTGGTCGGATTGGACGAGTAAGGAGCCTATGCGGATGCCGTTTATGACTCGGCGGAGACCCTTTTCGAGGGGGCCTCCGCTATATATTGTCATCAAAATTAGTGGCCAGTATGAATAAGAAGATTAGGTGCGACTTACGAGCGGAGGATTGATACACCACAAAGACTCTATATCAAATGATTTATGGTTACGAGATGTAATGATTTACAACTGAGCACTCACTGTTGCATCGAGCTCTTTCCCATGTGATTGCACTCCAGTGGGTGTTATTACCGTCTTTGCGCGAAATGGCAAGAACGAAATAGCTTGCTCGGCAAGGAACATCGATAGACGATCCGTAAAGAAGATAAAATCTTCGCGTGATGTATCTTTATCTCGTAAAATCGTGTAAATTCCCTGCAAAATATCAGAACGATACTATATAGCATTCAATGATGAAATCACCTTTATCTGCGGAGTTTGCTCTATGACATGCACGTTGAGCGATTCGAGTGAAGCTATAGATTCCGTCGAGGAGGAAGATACGGATCGAGGCCGTCCATTCTGGCCTGGTCGAGGCCTTGCAATACTCTCGCGAAAGCCTCGTGACCGATCATCGAGTTGTCGACGGATATGGGTAGTGATTAGGTCGATTGCTACGGAGTTGTCAAGTCCAGGGACAATCTAGGGTATACTAGCGTAAATATTTTTGATCGTGAATATCCAATAAAGTACGTACGATGTCTGCATAGCGAGACGTCGGGAAAACGAAGTCATCATATGCGGGTTTTACGAATCGTAGATACCTGTGTGGCAAATCAACGCTGTTATTTAGTGTCTCACCCAGCTGTTACATACTGGCTCAATATGCCTTCAATGTTTCTACCGCGCTCATTTATATCTCTCTTTATGCGTCTTGCAAGCATGAGATCCGAATCACATTTCACGAAAATCTTAGAATAATGTGAGATACTTCTTCTCTAATGCTTTGGACTAGACGCACCTTCAAATCGTATAGGGAGCGAAGGACAGGATCATGAAGTGTCATGATCCCTTCAGCTACCAATATCAACAATCATTAGTTTATGTTGAAAGAACAGAAGAAATACGTACTAATAATTATGGACGCTCCGTAAAGGTACGTCCTTTCCTTTAATCGTTGATGTTTTGCAAATGAATATACAGGCATATTCGTCTGTCTACCTTTCTTCAAGTCCGACAGGCACTAAATTCCGAACAATAAATCAGTGAACATGGCATGGCCTGTATGTCAACTAACGGAAGCAAATTCGGTCATATCAATTGCGTCCGGGTGATCAAAGTCGTACTGATTGGCAAATGCCAACTCGAGCTGCTCCGATGTAAGCTCCTTATAGAAACTATCCTAGAAAATAACTCCGTTACATTGAAGTCCGAAACGCTGATTAATGAAAGGTACAGACCTGGGACATAATAACGACGGACGGTATGCACCCTAGCGACCGAAGTATTTGCCGGGCCACATGCGTCTACAGAGTGGCATTTTAGATAAAACGGTGCAGTTATTGAGGCTCTTGTCGAACCTTGCCACTTGCAGACCCGCCTAGGTATTAAGTTATATTTTACTGGATAAGAAGGATGATAGCATGTACGACGTGCCTGCAATACCGATTACGAAGGCGTCTGAGATGTGTTTCCCGTTCTCGTCATACCTAATTCCTCGTAATTAAACGGTGTTTCATTATAGGAGCCGTAGTATGCTTACCATGGTGGACGACCATGAGATTTCAAAATAGTGTTCTTCAATGGTTCTCCTATCAATTTCGCTGGTCCTGAATGCATCCTACCCAGACGTGGTCGTGCTTGGACCTTATCGACGTGCTTCTCTTCGTCACTTGAGGAGAATGATGATGACGACGCTTCTGGCATGGCGAAGGTACGAAATTGCAATCAAATGTCGTTTCAGGGTGGACAAAGTAAGTATGATAATGAGATGTTGATAGAGCGCCAGAAAAGTGAACAGCTGGCCAGGTCAGTCGCGGTGCCGAGATTTATGATGCACGTGACGAGCATTCATTAACTCCGTACAGAATGACGACTTGAAGAACTACGGATGCAGATCGTAGTGACAGAGACCGACAGCTACCGTTAATTCTCAGTACAGTTAACTATTCTTGGTATTGGAATTCTCAATATTAAGAAGTTCACCAAAAAGGAGTACCCCCTCTTACGGATGTCGGAATTATTCATTCTGAAAACATGAACACGTAGAAACACTATCCAAGAAAACAGGCTTTGATTATAAAACGGAACAATGTCGGGAAATCAGTCAGAGTCGTGCTCGGGCAGCCAAGTCTGCATGGACGGCTTGAATCTGTCTGTAGTCTTTTGAGACTTCCTTAAGTGTTTGCCTATAGATTTCCTTCTACATGCAGAAGTTATGTCAGTCCGAAGAACATGGCCAATGGACAAAAATATTCAGATTAACGTACCTTTATTAGACCCCACACTCCTGTCTTCGCATTCTCAGCCCTTTCCAGAGCAAGAGCCTTGGCAGCAGCGAGAACAGCTTCTGTTGAGCTACCGTCCGCCACAACGTCAATTATGCCCTCCTTAAGGGCTTCTTGAGGAGTAAAACGATGTCCTTCGAGGGCTAACTTGCGAAGAGTGCGAGCATTAGACACTTTCGCACGGGCAACTGTTGCCAGAGAGAGAGGCCATGGGGCTCCAAAATGTACCTATATGATCATTAATTAATTAATCGTAATTAAGGCAGGACCGATTATGTTCGAGTCGTACTTCGTTCATGCAACACCATGCACGCCTCTCTTTTCCATCTGTCATGACCCTATAATCACATGCAAGCGCAAGGACAAGTCCCGCAGCGAAACAATGCCCGTTGATAGCCGCAATAATCGGGACTTAAGTCTAGGTTAGTAATAAACGGTCGGACGGGTCACAAAACCACCGTACTAGGGAAAGCAAGAAGTCGAGACACTAGGGTATTGTAAGTATCTAAAATGACAAATAAGTTAGTTAGATGAAATACGCGCGCGTCTAGTCAAGTGATAAGTCACCTGGAAAGAAATTGGGATCCTTGGTAGCATTCGCAAAGTCAAGTCCTAAAACGAAGTGAGGAAATTAGGGCAGTGTGTTGCTGCAGTCTTTCCGTTTCGAACTTACCATTACTGAAAAATTTGTTTTGATCCCGTTTCCCGATTATTATAAGTGCACCTCTACCGTCAGCGGAGCCTTGCGTAGCAGATCCAGTCGAACCCGGCTTGTTGGTGGCTTGGGCAGCACGCCACACATCCCGCCACTCGCGCTCGACCATGTCAAGAGCAGGCTTCAGAGCTCCATTAATCAGGTCATGCGTGAGACGATTATCCTCTCCATTGTGCATTTCAATGATCCATATGCATGAATTTTGAGCTGCACACAGATTAAGGGTGTAAATTGCAGTTATATCTAAACAGACATCTGGTTATGTAAGAGTACTCACCATCTCTTGAGACGGTCAGGATGGGCCTGTCTGCAGGGAGCTTGTAGCTTGTCATGGTCAGGAAGTAATTGCTCGGTCACCGAGTCACCGAACCGCTCAGGTCAAAACGCGTCGCGTAAACGAGCATGTGATTGATAATTCGAAATCTCCATTTGAAATTTCCCCACACTTGGAGTCAAGTTGGACCAAGGTTCGACTCCCGCTCGCGTCATCTTCTGCTAAATCATGTAAGGTGCTTCTGAGTGAGAACACGACGAGTCTTGAGAAGAAAGGCGGTCCTTGATCTCATTCATCGCTCTAATATACAATAGATCCAAGCGTACACAATGTCGGACAGTATCAGCGCTTTCTTTTACGGGGTATTGCTGCATCCCAAGGTGCTCAAACGCGTTATTGGTAATGATGGTACCCACCTTCAAATCTGTCCTGCACTTCTTTTAGTGGGTATTTCTTCTTACTTATGCAATACACGGCTTTTAATGCCCGTTGTTTTCAGGATCATACCCGGCATCGCGTTAAGGTAGCGATGTATTCGCCAACACTATTCAAAATAGAATTTCTAACAATGCATCCAAACTTAAAAAGGGTCGCGATTATCCAGGAGTAGTACCATATGAGACATCGCGACAACTTTTCAATCATCATCTATCCATAGACGAGCGGTCTGTCAGAGGAAACCTCGTCGAAGGACTCAGTAAACGGGACATCGATCTTCTCGATGTCTTCGAAGGAGATGTATTTAGATTTATTTGCACTGTCATTAGAAACTCACCAACTAATCCAATCCACTTTTCACAGGAATACGTCAGGGAGAAAGTCAAAGTATACAAACTTGGCGCACTCGAGCCTCTCAACAATCCCTCGCCGTCCGTCGTATCAAGCAAGACAAACCATCTCTCCTCACCTTCCGAGTTAGGAGATACGATTGAGACAAATGTTTACATTTGGATCGCCCCAGTCACTTTGCTCGAACCGAAACTTTGGTCATATGAGGTGTTCATCAGGGATAGTGCTTGGAAATGGATTGGTCCTTCAAAGGACGAAGAGGAGTATGCGGAGGTTGATCGGCGTCGAGCGATGAATGGTATTATCAACGGAGCAGCCGAGAAAGCAATAGAAGAGGGTGTAATAAACTAATGCAAAGGATACCCTTAACGCATTTATATTGCATGTATAGGTCTTGTTTTCTAGCTGTAGAATTCTCAACTTGTAGAAACTATTTGGTGATTGTTCTGAGTTTGCACATGAAAGCGTGGGACAGTGATTCCTCTTCAGGTTTGATACTCTAGGCCCTGAGAACTCCTTGCCCTTCGGGAAGACAGAATAACGATGTAAGCTGGCATATTTTACGCGAACCACTTGCACTGTCTTGCGCCTACCCTGCGCCATGCAATGCGACTAATTCTTCCACCCGCCAAAGTCAAGGACGTTTTACTGAGCTGAATAATTATCCGAAGGCCCTGACGTACTTGATCAAATGACCTCCTGTGGACTTGATGCACTGTTTTCAGTTGCTTCTGCGGCTCTTAGGCTCAACTGCTCCAGTTAGCGATCTTGCTTCTCTCTATTTTCGTCGTGACGAGCGCATCGTGGATTTGCTAGACGCTTTCTATAGCCGGGTGAGAGCGGGCCTGTCGGCTCGCAGTGCAGCGAAAAGTGTGGTCACGAGTTTCGGTCGCCAAAGTTGCCTCGTCTATCGACGTCTTGAAAGGACATTCAGCGCTTGGTACTATGAATAACCCATTCTTAGGAATGAAATCATCAATTGCCGAAAATCTTGTCGCTCTACATAAAGTCTGCGGCTCCGGTAAATCCACCGCCCCCTAGGTCCTCCATGATGCTTTTACCGAGTTCTGGTCACCTCAGAGCCTTCCTTGTCGGTTTTCTTTGCCTCACCGCCGTCTATGCCATTGGGCAGGATACTTGCGTGTCGTTCAAGTCCTCAGGCTCCGACCTTTCTATCATTAATGGTGACTCTGCTGCACCACTATACCTTTCTGAAGATGAATGGCCTGGCGTCCAACGTGCAGCTGCAGATTTCGCGTCTGATATTCAGAAGGTTACCGGGAAGACGCCGAAAGCATCAAATGTTACGGCCTCTGTGAAGACGTCTGCAACACCCATAATCATCGGTACCCTTGGAAAATCGTCTCTCATCGACGCCGTCGTGAACCACACACAGCTCGATGTTTCCTCTGTTTCTGGCCAATGGGAGTCTTTTATGACAAAACTAGTTAAGAATCCTCTTCCGGGTGTATCTCAGGCATATGTAATCGTTGGCGCGGATAAACGAGGAACTATCTACGCCATGTACGATTTATCAGAGCAAATTGGTGTTTCTCCATGGTATTGGTGCGTGTCTTGGTCTTTCAGCGACTTGCTTTTGTATTAACGTTCTCTTTAAGGTGGGCTGACGTGCCGACTACGAAGAACGCACAGATTTTCTTTTCGGCTTCTGGTTGCTCACATGGATCGCCGACTGTGAAGTACCGTGGCATTTTCTTCAATGACGAACAACCAGCTCTGCAAAATTGGGCAATGGAGAAATTTACAAACGGCACGGGTGCTGCTTTGACCGGCTCACCCTTTAATCACTTCTTTTATGCAAAGGTGTACGTACAATAATATTAATCGCAATTATCGTACCAAGGACTAAACCTTTATTGCCAGATTTGAGCTCATCTTGCGACTGAGAGGGAACTTCATGTGGCCCGGTAAGTTACGAACCAATTCTCCTACAAACCATTTTCACTTACGCCGATGTTTTTCCAGCCCAGTGGAGTAGGTACGAGAGACAATAAATAGTGATGCCGTAACTGCGATCTGATTAATATAATATTAAATTAGCGCTTTTGGCGTGGACGACACACAGAATCAGCCGCTCGCGGATTGGTTCGGGATCGTCATGGGCACAAGGTATAGATTAAATATATTGTTGGATCAATGTATTGAATCTATTCTTGCAGCCATGAAGAGCCAATGATGCGGTCTATTCCAGTTGAATGGTCCCTCTTCGGAGTTGGACCGTGGGATTACTCGACCAACGCACAGTTTATCTATAACTTCTGGGTGAATGGAACGGAACGTGCTAAGCCGTATGAAAACATATTTACGGTGGGCATGCGAGGTGACGGTGATCGTAAGTCGCTTTACTTTCAATAATAATGTGTTGTTGTCTAAATACGCGTCAGTGCCTGCGTCCGAGGGGACGGACATCCAATTACTAGAGAAGATAATGTCTGATCAACGACAGATTTTAATGAGTGTCTACAATACAACAGACGTGACTGACATACCACAGGCGTGGGCATTATGTAGGTTAATATTCAGATCTGCTGTACTTTGCCTAAGTCATATTCTCTAGACAAAGAGGTTCTTGGTTATTATGATGATGGCATGCGTGTACCAGATGATATAACCTTGCTCTGGAGTGATGATAAGTAAGTCCATTCGCTATGTTGTCATGAGTCAGTTTTGAATTTCTGCGAAAGCTGGGGCAACATGGTCCGCCTCCCTGTTCCAGACGAGTTCAATAGAACAGGGGGAGCAGGTGTATATTATCATGTAGGTGAATTGCATTTCAAACTATGGTATCTTCCTCATTCATCGCCTTTTCTAGTACGACTACGTGAGTATAACCTGCAGACTCGTCTGTGTTCTTTCTGATGTAACAATAGGTTGGCGATCCAAGAGACTATAAGTGGATAACGGTACGCACTTGTACAAATTATTTCGTATTGAAAGCCAGTACTCACACAACGTATCCAGAGTACACAGATGGCCAAGGTCGGAATGATGCCTCTAATTGGTAGTCGCAAGCTCACGCATAGTGTTAATCCATAGACCTTTGACCAATTATCCCAAGCGGTCGAACGGCACGCGACACGTCTCTGGGTTGTCAACGTTGGAGACTTAAAGCCGTACGAGCTTAATACCGAATTCTTGTTGTCTTATGGCTGGAACTCTTCACGTTGGTCTCCGAATAACCTTAACACATTTGTTTCTTCATGGGCGCAGCGCGAATTCGACGTATCACCTTCCGTTGCGAACGAAATTGTGACGATCATGACGAATCTCACGAGATGGAACAATCGGCGGAAGCCTGAATTGTTGAATGGAACAACGTTCAGTCTGACCGATTACAGAGAGTATGTACATGTCGTTATATGTCATCCGTGCCACTCATTTCGTTTAGGGCGGAGAATGTCGTTACCGCGTGGGACGCGCTCCTTAATGCCTCGACGAAGATTTACAATAGTCTGTCGTCTGACTTTCAACCTGCTTTCTTCGAGACGGTCCAGCATCCCATCTTAGCGAGCTCTACATTGGGAAAAATGTGGATTGCTCAAGGAATGAACAACCTTCATTCAACTCAGGGACGTCTAAGCACGAACAATCTCGCGGACGAAGTCGAGGACTTATTCATGCAAGATTATGATATCGAAACGGAATACCACCAACTTCTGGGTGGCAAGTGGGACCAGTACGTTTACTGTTGACGTTTTTCTTCTCGCGCATAAGTCGTTCATTCCCTTTGCTAGTATGATGGACCAAACTCACGTCCAATATTTCTATTGGCAGCAGCCAATGTCCAACACGTATGCGACCTTTCATCCTACAACTAACTGGTGACCCTGACTATCAATTACAGCATGCCGCCCGTTTCTCGTGTCCAACCGAAAAAGGCAAGCCTGGCGGGTGTGATGCGCATTTCTCCGGAAGGCACAATGGGAACATGGTATGAACATAGATGACTCTTGCCCGATTGATTCTTATTTTGTTCCTCCAGGCCAGGAGATAATCCGAATCAATGTGCACTAGGGTACGGCTGCCCACCCTATACCATGACTCTGGATGCATATGTTCCTTTCCAATCACGCTTCATTGATGTTGGCGCTGGTGGTCCAACACCGTTTACGTTCACCTCCACGTCGAATGAGTCATGGCTTACTTTGACACCGAATAAGGGCTCTGTGTCACCTTCTAATCCCGAATTACGTGTTGAAGCAACCGTCGATTGGAGTAAAGTCCAAGGATCCCAAATGGCAACTATTAACTTTGTCGCGACTGCAAACGGGCAGATGCCTCTGAGTGTTCCGGTATTCTTTGTCGCAAATCATACTGTAGCACCTAGTAGCTTCCATGGTATATTCATATTAAGGCGTTTGGTGTCTCGTGCTGATTATTTTGAACAGGGTTCGTAGAAGGTGATGGAGGAATTTCCATCGAAGCCGCCCATGCTTCGCGGAACACCAGTGTGGCAGGTATCACCTGGACCGAAATTCCAGATTATGGGAAGACGTTGTCCGGTGTAACGCCATGGCCGCGGTCCGGGAACAACTTCAACAACTTTACGGCTGGCTCCGGACCAAGCATGTGAGTAAAGATAATAATATCCCGCTGATTTTAGCTAAAGTTAGTTGTATTTCATTATAGCGAGTACGACTTCTATAACTTTAACACTATCGGTGGAAACGGGACCGTTTCCGCTAATGTACTCGTGTCCCCGACGCTTAATTTTATGGGACCGGACAGGCCTATCAAGATTGCTGTCCAGATGGATAATCAGTCGCCTCAGACTGTGGCTTTCATACCTCCCGCGCCTCCGGGCCAGCTGCCGGCGCAATGGGATGGTAATGATGGCTTCGTGGCAAATGCTGCAGTGAGTGTCCTCACGAATTGGACTGCACCGCCTGGTGCACATACTCTAAAGGTGAGCATTGGAATAGCACTGGACTAATTATTTAAGCTGAAATATTATCCAAGCTCTGGATGGTTGAGCCAGCGGTAATCGTTCAGAAGATAGTAATTGGTGCGTGGAGTCTGAAACAACTACAACCCGGGTTGCAATAACTGGTATTCTCTAGATACGGGTGGAGTCCGTCCAAGTTACCTAGGGCCACCAGAAAGTGTTCGGGTGTAAAGTTCGGGTCATGACTATGCACAGTATAGTGAGAGATCAGCGTACATGTATGATAGACACTTCATTATTCCTTCCTTCAATGTAATTTCTTTCGTGCCACCCGTTTTTCTAATATCCTTGGCCTAGGTGTCCTGAGAAACTAAGATGCATCTTCTTGGTAGCTTTATTGATTTTGATTTTCTTTTCTCCGGTCGAACACGGCAAGCTCCGGCTACGAGGAGCAAATTGTGTGTGTCCGACGAATTTGCAGTATATTTCGTGCTGCGACTTTATGGGCATGTAGGTGCTTGAGTTGGGAGATGCGTCTTGCTTGGACTTCAGTTCTCCACTACTTGTAAGTCATCTGACAGACGTTATGTATAATTCGTGCGGAGCGTGTACGAAGCTTTGATCATTATCTTCTCATATGCTGATAAGATGTTTAGACTGTTGAGATTACAACGAAGAGTACATCTGCGAAGCGACCCTGTATACACCGATCTGGAGGTGCCAATGGTCGAATGGAATGATTAACCAAAGATTAAAATAAGGCAACACTTTGGCTTCGAAAGGATATCAGAACTTATTGAGCCGCCAAGTTCAGCATCCTCACGCTCCGACTTCCATCTTCGTATGTTGCGGAGTTCCGACCGCAAGGATACACGCCGGGCGCAACACTCTCGAGCTCTCAAGAACTTCGTCGAGTTGAAGTAATATCAATCACATAGTTTCTGTTGAACCGAGGCACGGCAAACTACCATTAATAGTTTAATACTATTAATACCGGAGGAAATCATTTCAGAAACTGCAACGTGTCTATAAGCAAGAATGGGTGTATGGCTACTGTATGAAGACAAAGCACCTGTAACAACTTGTGCGAGAAGAACAAACTCAACAGGCAGAACCGGACCTCTGGACTATCCCGTATATCAATGGATGACATGAGTCGTTCGGCCAGTATCTCTTTCAACATACATCCAAGTTTGTGTCAAGGGCAAACTTCCATGTTTGTTGAACTTGTCAAAGATATTGAAAGAACAAGGTTGAATCGCAACCAGATTTCCAAAATAACAATGGAAAAGGTTTGAATGAGGCTCCCACTTCCAGAGAGCACGAAACCAAGAAGGTGCATGATCAGCAGAACGGAATATGCTCTGAATGGCGGGCTCGAATGTCAGGATGAAGCATTCCCTGAATCACCAGAAGAGAAACAGTACAGTAATCCTGAAATTAACCCCAAATACTCAATGATGTTGATTTAGAAAAAAATGTTCAGGTGGATGCAGTGTTAGATTAATTTGAAACATTGTTCATAGCTGCATATATCAATTCTGTTGTATTTGTAAATGAGTGTAGGCTTGAGTGTAGTAAAAGTGGGACTTGAGGAGGGGCCTAGATTTCTATGGCAGTATTATAGGTATTGATGACTTGCTGTGTTGCCTGGCTTGCCTTTCCATGCTAATGGATATCAGAAAGCCCCACTTGGCCAATTTGTTCAGAGGTATCTGTCCACCAGTGTATGTATGTGACTGAAGGGACACAGCTTCATGCTGTGGCTGGAAGGCAAAAGGGAATGCAAACATGCATCTGACAATAATGTCAGGAAAAAGTCAAAATCTATATATGATCTTATAGTTATTATAAAGTGCAATATGTTTAATATATAGAATATATAGTAATTATCTGTATTTAACTCTATTATAAGGTAAAAATCAGTCTTATATGTTCTTATAAAGGCTCTATCAGTATTATTCATTAATATAATATGGTAAATATATTTTAATGGTCTTATATGAAGAGTACATACCTTTTAATACTTATATATAAAGAGTAAAAGTATTATAATAGTATTATATTTGAAGAGAAAGACTTATATCTATTATATAATATAATAATAAGACATTTTCTATACTTATAATCTGTATGAAAGTTTTATAAATGTTTATAATAAGTAGGAGTTCTTTTTGTAAGATTACAAGCTTAATAAATATCTTAATTATCATTATAATGATTATTTTTCATAAAGGAACTATCAGTAAATATGACTCAACTTATGTAATGCTCGAGTATCACATGAAATTTTGTACTTAAAACATTTATGACGCACGTTGCATTTCACTCCTTGCCTCTGACCCCCCATCTCCTGTATCTCTCTGCCCTGCCACTATGTCGTCGCTTTTGTTCTCTCCACTCTCCAGTTCAGTCGACTCACTCACAAGTGTCCTCTAGCACACTCTGGCTCTGTGCTTTCCTCTCCATCTGTCGTTGCGATGCCTGTGCTGAGTCTCAGATCCTGTGTCGATGCCACCCAGCTGACTACACTGTCCTTCAACGTAAAGCGG